AAATAACACGGCAAGCAATTTTATCATGTTAGCGCAAGAGAGAGAAGAGAAAGCTTAAGAATGTTTTAAAAAGAGTTTAAAAATTGATTTTTATTATATATAGATTTATGAAAGTCAAAAAATCAGAGAGTATCACCCATGATGGTTGACATATTATCTATAACAATTAGCATAATCACTTATGAGTCAACATTTAATGCAAGTGAAAAAGTTGTTAACGCATTTCGCTCCAAATTTGGTGTTGAAAGCATACAAGCCCTCATATATGAATCTAATTGGGTTCGTTGTCACTATGGACTAAAGGGAAGATTCAAGATATTTATTTTCATCGCATTTAACTCTTTCTCAATGAACTCGTTTCTTTTAATTATTACAATATCATATGATGCTCTTTGATTTTGTAGGAAGAATATGATAATGAAATGGTGGATATTCCCTTCTGTATTACATGAAAAGTCAAGAGGTGGTAAACATATTCATTTATATGTTTTTAACGGATATTATACAACTCTAGTGTAGATGATAAATAATCATAATTTTTTCTATTCTTTTTCACAGCTCATTTCAAACTTTAGATACAGTATTTTTTTGTATTATACACTATTATTAGCTTTTTTTAGGGTATTCAACGCTTTGATCAGCTTCATTATTATAACAGGTTACATTTGTAGATAATCTCTCTCTTATCTAATAATAATGCTTCAAAAAGAACCACCACAACTGCTTCAACTGAAATAATTTATATTTTTTCCCATTTTCTAGATTTGCTTTCATGTTCATCAGTACAAAAGATGGAAGAGTTTGAAAATTGTGGAATAGCATAAGGATGAACAAATGAAAAATTTTGTCATTTGTCGAGTTTATTTTGGCATTATCATGAACTTTTTTGGGTTGAAAAAAGATAAGTTGATATTTCAAACTACTTTTTGTAACAGTGTACAAAAATATAAGTTTTTGGTTGTCAATTTCATATTCAATCACTTCATTTAAGATTTATTTTACCATTAACTTCATTAATATTGCACTTAATATTAGCTATTCAATTTAAGCTCATTAATTCAATTCTCATGTAACCTCAAAAAAAATTATTTCAAATCAAAATTAAATTTTAAATACAAACTATGACTGCCTAAATTATTAGTAATAAATGAATAATTATTTTGTTTGTAAGCTAGGAGAGTAGATGTATTAGATTTGGCCTAAGTTAAGAAATGTAGAAGTAGACCTAAAAAGGTTGGGCTAGAAAATATTAGAAATGACCTTTTTTTTATTAGATTTAAATGATAATTTGACTCTTAATAGGACAAAATGGAGAAAAAAGGATTCATTTAGCCGACCCCACATAATGGAATAAAGGGTTGTTGTTGTTGTTAAAAGTTAAAATTATAAAAAATATATATATTTTGATTTAAAACTAAGAAATTGAGCTCAACAATTGACTCAAGATCAAGAATTCCAAATGAGCTCGAGCCCAACTTTTATTGGTCAAGCCGAATTCGAGTTTAGAAAATGAGCTCAAGTCGAGCTCGAGTTTAAGCTATGTATCAATTAAACAAGCTTAGCTCGATTTAGCAAATACTCGACTCAACTCGACTCATTTACACCTCTAGAAGTAACTAGTTTGCAAAGAGAGTTATTTTTATTTCTATTATAGTTGGTAAAAATCTTCACGCATGGGAATAAAGAATCCATTAATATATAAGTTTTGTGTGGAAAAAATAAGGAATTCATTCTTAAGAGATGATTGCATGTAAGAGACTTGGGCATGTACAACAAAGGATAGAAGATGCACCATAAGATGAATAAATGAAATTAATGTCAAAAGGATTAAAAGAAAAGCAGGTAAAATAAAGGTGACTATTATAAAAAGGATTTGCTCAAAATAAGTTTAACAAATTATATCACACTCAACAGAGATGAGTGGATAATGAGGACTTCTAAAAGTTTTCATAAATAGTTGAAATAAGGTTAATGATGATGGTGATAAGAATAGGAGGTGATATAAACATGATCCAGAGAATTCCTAGGAAATTGGAAGCAAAAAAATTTAGTGGTACCATGAGATTCATGATTGAAAACAAAAGATATATAGAGAGAGAGAGAGGGAAATGGATTATAACATCAATATTGATGACCTTGTATGAGCCTTATATGATGGACCAACAAATCAAAATCTTAAATGTTCGTACCCTAAACTGAGAAAAATCTTTACTGAAAAAAAGCATGATGGGTCATACATAACAATAACCAACAACGGATTTTGTAGTCTCATACATGCATTAGAGTTTAAAATACACATAGCAAGTACAACAAAAGCATGGTACGCACGGCCGCTACCCATTGCATTGAATCACTCAGAAAACTAATAGGTTATTGATGAGGACATCGTCAAAGATTTCGATACATGTACCTTCAGGAGACGCCGGAGATCGACGGCCACGATCATGAGTTTTATTTTGAGCATTTTATGTAATAGTTTATTTGATTTTTATGTTTTTACATTTTTGCCCTTATGGGTAGTTAGTTGCTATTGTAGCCCAAGGGGCATCTTAGCCTTTGTTTTCTTTGTCATTTTGAGGCCTATTTATATGGCCCTTTTTCTTATGTAATAGTTAGTTTTGATTGAATGAAAATTTTCTACTATGTGTTCTCTTTGTGAGTTCAAGAAGATCTCTTGGTGAGTTCTTCACCCTCCTCGATCTCTTAGTGAGTTCGTCGGAGAAGATAGATCTCTTTGTGAGTTCTAGATTTTTCGCCAAACTATTTTGTCTTCAAGAGTTCTAAATTTTCGTCAAGTTATTTTCGTGGAGATCCGGATTGAAGAGAATTGAGGTGAGTGGATTTTTTTTTGCAAATCAACTCCCTTGAAATTCCCCTCCTCCCTTCCACTCACCCCTTGCCGCCGCCTCCCCTTGAGCCACCTGGACCGCCCAAGCCACCCGCTGACCACCCCAAGCCCGTCCAACCCACTGGCCGCCGTTCTCCCTGGCTTCCCCTCTTGCCCCTCCATCCGCTGGCCTCTCCCCTTGGTTATGAATTTGAAATTCAAATTCCAAGTGGTATTGATTACTTTCCAAATATAACTCCTAAATTTTAGGCCATATTCATAATGAGATTTCAATCCTAGTTTGAAACTCAAAAACTGCCTAACGTTTACATGCACATTAGGAAACTTTTGCCATACATTAAACCTGAAATTTCAGTCCAGATTTATGATTAAATCTGCTGTAATTGTGGGCCCCACTTTGTTAAATTCCAAAGCCTCTCTCTCCTTGCTCTATGGCCGGCCACCATTGCCCATTAATTCTCTTTTTAATTACATTAATTGCTTCCCATTAAACCTCTAATCCCTCACTAACCGTTGGCACTTCCTTGGGAAACTAGTTTGCTGTTCAAATTAACTTTCATCCCCATCACTTCTCCTCCCTAAATTCCAATTTCAGAACTCTGAAATTGCTTTTGCCTGAAGCTCTTCTCACCTACCCGAGCTCCTCCTTGGCCATGATTTGATTTCTCCCACCCACGCCATCCCTCCAACTATAGAAACCTGACATCATTTCTTAGTTGGGAACCCTTGCTTCTCCTCCCCATCCTACCCGATCACCTTCCCTCTCGAAATTTCTCGCAACAAGTGGTCAGCTCAAGGGCTCAAGAAGAGAGCTCTCCACATCCATGGACGGCCGATCCCGACATCGACCACGGCTTCGTCTTTGATGATCAAGGAAGAAAGGATAAGACGTTGGATGCTCACTAGTCATCCCATGGACTACTCGCCACCGGCTACCACTCCAACGGACTACACTTTGTGCGCCATTTGTCTAGTGGCATCGCTCGGTTGCTCTCAATCTTCCTCCATTAAAAGTGCCACCAACAAGAGAGTGAGTGAGAGACCCAAGATGAAAAGTTCTATTTGTTAATTGTGGATTATTGTTTCTCTCCATAATATTACTCTTTAATTCTATGTTGTCAATTTGATATTGTCCCGTTAATCTAGTTGTAACCGCATGCCTTACTTAATTTCGACTTGATAATTCTGAAAACCTAACTTGAGTAGGCATTAATTCTATAACTAGCAAAGCTTTAACAATCTTATATTAAAATCCCCAAGCAGTTCTTGTTCATCGCATGTTGTTTCACATCATTATTGGGCATTTAACAATAGAAGCTTAAGAAGTGGACATATTGTTAATGAGTTAAAACTAAGTAAACAAAACCAATGCCCCTGTACTTCCAAAATATCCACCAAAATTTTCACAAACATAATTCCAAACATCACAGAAAATGATCAATCTAGTGAAGCAAGGAATAAAAAGAAACATGAATGCAAAGAGTGAAACAAAAAACAAAAAAAATGATAAATCCAAGATGGAAGAGAAATAGATGAGGAATAATGATTAACATGGAAAATGAAGAAAAGTTAAATTCAAGTACATAGGAATGATATAAATATGCAAGAGAAATAATTGCACAGCTTGCAATTGGAAATAAAAACTTAATCATGAATATTGCAAGAGATGATCAGACAAAATAGGATATCATTTGATGGTTCTAAAAAATAAATTGAAAGACTATTGATGGTTCGGGTCATCCAGAATTCAATAGAAACATCTATTGCAATTTTATCATTTCTCCAGTAAATGTGTCTACCAAAAAATTAACAAAATGAAAGGAGTTGGGAAATACTGCAGGATGAAGTCAAACACCCACAGCCCCCACAATGAATATTTCAAATTAACATTAAAAATATATATTTTGTCATCATGATGAACGCACCACCTAGTTGACTTACACGCCTAAGGGGCCAGTTCATTGTCATTATAGCAACATAATCGTTAGAAGTGTGGTTCAAAAATAATTGCAATGTTCATCGTGTCTCCATTTATTTGAAGTATCAGATAATACTAGGCAGAACTTTTAAAGTAAGTCATCATAATCAATACTGTGTTCTATAAAATGTAAAACAATTAAATTGCAACAATTCAAGAATTATGCGATCTCACCTTTCATCGTCTGGCCACCAAACTCTTATCTTGGAACCGATAAGCTTCTCGTTACTTTTCCGTCGTTTTGGAGTTCCAACAGTCTACCAAATACAGAAGAAAATAAAAATCGAAATACAGAAAACAGATACATAAAGGGAGAGATGAGAGCTAGTAGGTTGTTTACAAGTTCTTCCTCTAGCCCACTCCTTTCTACAATGCGGAAAGAGAGTGCTAAGTAGAAAAGGAATTAAACTAGCAACCAATAAAGTTAAATGTAAAATAGAAAAAAAAATTATTGACTTAAAAGATAGGTCCGCTGTAAGCAATGTAAGATAAATGGGACTGAGTTTGTATGCCAACAGCCAAAATAAAATTAACAAATTATTTAGCGAGAGCTTCATCATCATTCCATTAGCTAAGACGTGGCCGAAAAAACCAAAACATGATAATTATAGCATGTCCAGGCACAGAAACATAATCAGTTCACCCTGAACAGAATAATCAAATCTTAAAAAAAGGTCCTGATGTCAGTTCACTGTTAGCAAACCCAACTAGCAGCGCTACCTAATTAAACTAGAATAGAGTACGTAGCTCAATATATGGAAGGCATTCTAACTAGCGATGCAAGGCAAATTGAAAAAACAACCTGAGAGTTGGGAAACTAAATATAAGCAAGATACTACAACTGATGTAGGCCAGGGGGGCAATGGATGTGCCTTGATTTTTGGGCTGATTTGGTTCCTTGTTTGGACTTGGTTGTCTCAGTTTTAGCTACCCCTTTGGTGAGCTGTTGTATTCTTCTTCTAAAATCAGCTCATTATTACTTTTAGTTCAGCTCCTAAGCTCCTATTCAGCTCATAATTGGGATGTCCTAGTTCATCCCCTCTCTGTTTGGCCTTTGGTTTCTTCCGCCAGGCTCCTATCCCGTGGCTGGCTGTTGTTATTCCCCGTGGTTGCCCATTCATATCCCCCGTGTGGACCCTTTGGCTGTTGTTCCAGGCGTTGCCTGTTGGTCTTTTGGCTCCCTTTTTTAGTTTGGTTCGACTGGAGGTGATTGGGGATGTTTGGCTTCCTCTTTTCAACTATATATATGGGTTGTTCTGTAGTAGAAAAGAGGAAGATATGAAGTGATTTTTGGAAGCTAAATCGTGAGGGTTTTTGTATAGTTTGTGAGCTATGTATCCCCTTCTCTTCTCCTTTCATTGACTTCGTCTCGGGCTTCTTATCTCATTCTTCTCTCCGCAAGTGACCACCCCATTTGTATCTTTCTTCTCGATGAATGAAAGCTTCTTTAGGTTTCTTTATATATTCAATATATTGTTGGTTGTAAGTTTAAAGGTGTCGTTTTGTCTTTTTTAATTTTATTTGAGTTTTTGGGTTGATTATAAGTTATATGGTTGTAAGTTTGTTATGTTTTAAAGGAAGACGTTTAGTCTGACATTTTGCAAAATTTTGATAGCATCAAATTTGGTATCATAGCCTAGGTTAGCATATTCCTAGGTTGTTCATGCCTTTTTTAAGTGTTTAAAAAAATGGAAAATCATGAAAACATTGAGTCAGTTGTGGGTGAAAATCAGCCAGGAAAACCTGAATTCCAAATTCCAACCAACAGATGGATTCCACCGCAAGAAGATTCTACCGATCCGCTTCAAAACGAATTATACAAGCTTCAGATGAAGATGAAATTGTGTATGGAAAAATATAAAAAGAAAAAGCAAAATCTCCAGGTCAAATTCAAGCAAGAAAGAGAAAAGATACTGAAGAAATATGCGGCCATGATTCAAGAACTAGATGTGGCACCTTCGTCTCGTCAGGAACATACTCAAGCATCCTCATCAGAAGATGAGCCTTTCAACCGGGGAAGAATTTGATGTAGGCAGGAGGGTTCAGCTCATAATTGGGATGGGGGGGGGATGGACCTGCCTTGATTTTTGGCCTGATTTGGTTCCTTGTTTAAACTTGGTTGTCTCAGTTTTAGCTACCCCTTTGGTGAGTTGTTGTATTCTTCTTCTAAAATCAGCTCATTATTACTTTTAGTTCAGCTCCTAAGCTCCTTTTCAGCTCATAATTGGGATGGGGGGGAGATGGATGTGCCTTGATTTTTGGCCTGATTTGGTTCTTTTTTGGACTTGGCTGTCTCAGTTTTAGCTACCCCTTTGGTGAGTTGTTGTATTCTTCTTCTAAAATCAGCTCATTATTACTTTTAGTTCAACTCCTAAGGTCCTTTTCAGCTCATAATTGGGATGTCCTGGTTCATCCCCTCTCTGTTTGGCCTTTGGTTTCTTCCGCCTAGCTCCTGTCACGTGGCTGGCTGTTGTTGTTCCCAGTGGTTGCCCGTTTCTGTCCCCCGGGTGATCCCTTCGGCTGCTGTTCCAAGCGTTGCATGTCGGTCTTTTGGCTCCCATTTTTTGGTTGGTTCGGCAGAAGGTGATTGGGGTATTTGGCTTCCTCTTTTCAACTATATATATGGATTGTTTTGTAGTAGAAAAGAGGATGATATAAAGTGATTTTTGGAAGCTAAAACCTGAGGGTTTTTGGATAGCTTGTGAGCTGTGTATCCACTTCTCTTCTCCTTTCTATAACTTCGTCTCGGGCTTCTTATCTCATTCTTCTCTTTGTAAGTGACCACCCCATTTGTATCTTTCTTCTCGACGAATGAAAGCTTCTTTAGGTGTCTTTATATATTCAATATATTGTTGATTGTAAGTTTGAAAGGTGTCGTTTTATCTTGTTTAATTTTATTTGAGTTTTTTTGTCGATTATAAGTCATACGGTTGTAAGTTTGTTATATTTTAAAGGAAGACGTTTAGTCTGACATTTTGCAAAATTTTGATTGCATCAAAAACTAGCATCAGCAACAATCTACCCCAGCTTTTCTGGGGGATTGGCTCAACAAAAGTTATGTCATGGCCAATACTGATGTCCATTACAGTTTCCAGGTCTCCTACATTCTTTTTCATGGTACCCAGAAAATCTAAAAGACCAGTCAAATCGCATAAAAATGGGCCAACTCTATAACTTGTCCAAAACATGGATGACCAAACAGTTTCATACAACTTAGTTTCTCAGTTACCACCAAAGTAAAACCAGTGATCCATTTCAATTATTCCTCGAGAATAAAAAAGGTCAGTTTAAACAATTGCAATCCTTTATCTTATAAATAAACAAGGCCCATAATGCTTGGATATGGTTGGCCATCTTGCCAAGGTGTATCTAACGTTTAACTTCACAACTTTCAGAATATTCATTCCTAGCAAATCATGTCTGTTAAGCATTTGTTGTTCCAAATGCAAGCTCCTGGCTTATTTTGTACTATTACATTGGATCTGTGCTCCAAAATGATTAACTTTCCAGTGTAATTATCATTATTCTAAATCAGGTCTTAGACCAATGAATGTTCTCTGAAAGAATTTTCTTGATACTGATAATTACCCAACCCACCCTATATAGAGAGCAATTCAGGTCCTTTTTAAAAAGAACTTTCTTATATCAGGTAGACTCTCAACAAGAACTTGACAAAAATTATGAATGCTTAACATAGCAAATTGTATCAAGTTTCAAGCTTGTAACAATGTTGATGAACAAAGGCACGTCGATAGATAGATATTCAAGAATGAGATAGATATAGATTAAAGTAGGAGCAACATAAAACAAATATGGGCTCTTACCAGCTCTGGTGTAGTTCCAGCATGCTTCTGCCTAGATTTTGATTCATTAGAATCCTTCAGGTGGCTCTGATCCTTGATAGATTCTTTCATTGTTAATTTTCGAGAAGAAACCAATTCCTGTAATTAACATTTGGTGAAAATTGATTATGAGAATATCGCAAAATTATAAACCTAATAAGCAAGGAGATGATATAATATGTGACATCTCATCACAAGCAATAGATTTAGAACCTAAAATGATCAATTTTGACAAAAACACCCAAAATCATGGCTACAGTCATCATCATCATCATCATTAACCTTGTCCCAACCATTTTAGAGTAAGCTGGCTGAATCATCATTCATCTTTCATCCCTCCCTCGAGTATAAGATATAAATAACTCAAAATTGTAGATATCCTTTTGCATGACTGAACCATGTTACATGGGTCTTCCCCTTTTACTTCCAAATCCTTCTACACCAAACCTATCTACCCGTCACACTTTGCAAACATTCACCTCCCAACCACCAATAACAAAGAGACCAGCAGGCCACAATCATGAATTAGATTGGTACAACAACACAAAACCTTAGCCAGCTAGATAGCTAAATCACCATACATATACAGAAGTGCAAAATTAAAAAACATGCTTACAATTTTATTTTTAACTTTTTGTTGGGGTGAGGAGGTAGTAGAAACATAAATGGAAAGATTGAAAGCTGCAGAAGTGAGCAGTGAGCAAGATAACACATTTTTTGAGCTTTTAAGGAATTAACAAATTGAAGTAGTCAGCAAAACGACATAGGAATATTAATGCCAAAATGGCAAAACATGGCAATTACATGCAAACAAACCAACCTTACCGGACGCAAAAAAGAGACTATTAGAGTTAAATAACATCATACAGAAAGAAGGTGAACCACAGATTACCAATTGAACCTATCAAAATTGAGTGTATGGGATGGATTAAGCATAGATGAACAAAATGGAGCACAACTATGTTAATTGAAATGTAAATAAGCATATTTTCCATCAGCTATAACATATCTCTTCCAGGCCCTCTAAAAGAAATCATATCTCATCAAAAAAGAATCAATCCATAAGGAAAATCTATTATTTACTGCAAAGGAAAAAAAAAAGATAGATCCTGAAAAAACACATTATCAACCAGCGAAAGCCACAGGTGGGACAAGCTAGCTTAATAGATTTCCAGATCCAGCCCAACACTTAATAAGAAATCAGATTTCATCATCAACCAATTCAATCCATATAGAGCTTCAGCTATTTAAAGCAAGAAGAATAATAAATGCAAAAGTAAGCGTCATCAGTTTACTAAAGCCGAAGACACAGGTGGAACAAGCTAACTTAATATGTTCAAGAATACCCCCAAACACCTACACCAACCTAAAAGGTACAAAAATAATTAGCCCAACATTGGTAAAGTTCAACACTTAACATCCATTCTCGCACACATATACACACATCACCCATAAACATAATTATCCTGGACGCATGCCAACATAGGTTTACCATTCAATTGCCAGGAGAATATAAGGTGCTTTAACAACTTATGATTTGCATGTAGACACATGCATGCTCTAACAAAAGAACGAATATAACAAACATTGGAGAAAATTTCAGTACAAGAAGTTAAAGTATTGAGTTATAACCTTCAATTTCACTTCTTTATCTTCTTCATCAACATGTACGCCGCCTCCTTTTTGCTGCTTAGTACCAGCACTTTTCTTCTGTCCTGAAAAATCTCCTTCTTTAACTTCTCTTTGAGATCCACTTCTACCTCTCTGTCTCTGATGTTTTGTTTCAGAATCACATGTAGGTGTTGGGGTGGTTTTGCTATCCTCAACAAGTGTGTGTGATTTACTGGCAGATATTTTTAATGGATTTCTTTCTGCTTCACTGATGACCTCTGACTTCTTTGAGCTCAGCTCACTTATAGGAAAATCTCCACCTGTCGTTTGGCTGCTTTCCAAAATTCTCTCATGTCCAGACGCATTAGATGAACCCTCCACTGCAGCTTTGTCAGAAGCATTTCTTTTAACAGATGGTTTTTTTGATCGAGGGAGTCGTCCCTTTCTAGAACGAATCCCATCATGCTCATTAGGTGTATGCAAAGAAACAGAAGAGGAAACTTCAGCCAATCCAGGAGTAGGCTCAATCTTATTCTTCTTTCCAGGTTTTGAGCAAGCTGCTGTTTCTTCCTTAAAAGAGATGCCATCAACTTGAGACAACTCAGCTTCCTTACTGCGGCCTTTTCTCCTGCCAGTAATAATCGGTGTTCCTTTCTCATCATCAGTCTGCTTATGATCATTATTAACCACCAACTTAACCAAAGCTTTTCTTTTTTTTCCTTTCCGAGAACTAGGATTCAATCCATCATCCAGCTTTGCATCACCAGAGCCCAAGTTATCAGAATCACCTAACCTCGATCCATCATTATCCCTCGATTGAACACCAGACTGGGAAAATTCAGCCTTTTGCTCTGTAGCCATGGAATCCCCATTCCCCATCTGAAAACCATTGCTCATAACTAATTTGGAAGATCTGTCTGCATCAGCAACAACTTTTCCAGGAAGGACTTCAAGTTCAAGTTTTGCAGATCCCTGAAAAGAAGAAGAATAAGCTGAATTCTAGTGTAAAATTCAAGGCTATTTCATCAAGTAAATTCCAGAAATAAATTCAGTTAGATAAGACCTGAGGCTGCTCATTACAAAGAGTCCCATCAGATAACTTGCTGTCATCTGCCTGAAGCATGACAACTTGATTAGGCGTTGATGCTACTCTACAAACTAAAAATCTCATACATGTGAAAAAAGATATAAAAAGATACATTAATTTACTGAAGTAACAGATAATTCAGAAGGTCCTAAATCCCACAAGCATAAATATAGAAAATTAGAAACTACATTATGCTTTCCTGTTTAAGTACAGCCGAGAATCAATCAATATAGTAATTTTATGTAAACAATATGAACTAGAAAACATTAGGATATGCATGATCAATTATATGAGTAAGTTGAGGCTGTTGACCATGAACAACGTACTACAAAAATAAAATTAAATCTAAATGAAACAAGCTTACAACAGAGTTTTGCATATCATTACTTAAATGGATAGCAATAGGAAGGATGCCAGATAGAACACCTGAGTTTCACCAGAAGTATTCATTTCATTCTGCACTAAAGTACCAAGATTCCCCTGACATACAGCAGCAACAATTTTGCTATAATCACTTAGAGGAGCAGAGATACCCTTGAATGCCTCAACCAAATAGGGCTTCAACTTCAAGGAACAATTAACAAGTACTTTCTCTGCAAGCTTCTTTGCTGAGGACATGATATTCTGGGGAGCACAGAGAAGGTTGAAACAAAGCTGATTGTAATCAAGCAAGTGGATAAAAATATTATGCAAACAAGTTACCTTCTCATCAATTTTGAGATTATCCAAGAGACATGAAAGAAGCTTTGCTGGAATATTTTCACTCTCCTCTATAACAAGTGACATAACAGTCTCCATTGAAGAGAAAACTGTATCCGAATGCTTAGGTCTGAAATAAAGACATAAGACTCCCTAAGTCATCAATAAGGGCACTAAAAGAAATTAGCAGCAATCGCAAAAGAGGGAAAAACAATAGAATTGAGGATTGAAGTATTATGGTGAGTTACAACAGAGACTTATAAAACCCAGTAAATACTTATATACACAATTCACATGCTGAGAAGCTTGAATTGTCAAATGAAGCAATCAAAATGGGGAGAGGATCCATTTGATTTCTTGTCAATTAAAACATATTCAGATGAATGATGCAAATTGCTAGCTTACGGAAAATGTTAGGATATAATGAGAATAGTGATTTTAATTCACAAACCCTTCCAAGGGACATGGTTTTCACATATAAAGAAGGCAACCCTACAAAACAAGCTCTGAATAAAAAACACATCACAAATCAACAGAGCTCCAGTCGGGTTCTGCCAAGTTCTGGCAAGAATTCAAGTTCATTCTAGCAAACAAATATTGATTATGATCAATCAAACCACAACCGCATTATATAGTGAAAAATAAGACATTTTTAAGAAAACGTAAGACAATGCATTATTTAACAAGGCTAAGTTTTACAGAATTTCCTAACTCAAGGATCATGATATCTTACTTATGTCAATCAAGGTCTCTTACTTTTGCTTGCCAGTGTCATATCCATCCTACGGATAATGTCCTTTAAAAAAAAATATTGTCCTACCAGACCCTAGTAACTTCAATAAGAGCTCTAACAATGTCAGAGGGGAATGGAGACCGCCAATGAACACCAGCAAACATCAGCCTGTGATGGCAAGCTAGGACAACCACTATATGTAGGTTACACAAGAAGTTCTTGTATACCATAATTGTGTCGCCTCACAAACTCCCTTTCAGGGTCAATACAGAATAAAAAGAAAGAGTAGGAATTATAGGTGGAACTCCTCAACTCCAACTATGAAAAACACTGAAATCTAAGAAACAATAATGCAAAAGAGTGTTTTTCTCAAAACATTTTTTACGAAATATACAATTAAAATCGAACAACAACAACATCAAGCCTTTATCCCACTATGTGGGGTCGGCTACATGAATCCTTTTTCTCCATTGTGCCCTGTTAAAAGTTAAATTCTCATTTAAATCTAATAAAGAAATGTCATTTCTAATATTTTCTAACCAAGTCTTTTTAGGTCTACCTCTACCTTCTTAAAATAAGTCAAATCTAATTACAATCAAACTAACCAAAAAAAAAAAAACTATTGATTTTCAAAATTCAACATTTCATACGGAAGGTGTTGCATTTAAAAAAGAGCTTCAAATTTCATAAAAAAGGAGCAATAAATTAAATTCATAGTACAATAAATGAAAAAATACTATAGTATAGAATAGATAGCACATCTTTCAAAAAACTAACTCGGACAAGATATGATGTCATGGCTGCATCCAAAATATTTCAATAGAAATAAGGAATTTATAACATAGGATAAAGAAAAATAATTAAGCTGGAATTTTCACTGCTGCTTAATTCAATCGACGGAGCAAAAGCCTGTTAAAAGACTCCATAATACTTTAAGCATACCTAAAATATGGAAAAGCAATAAATATAAACTATGTTCTGGCAAAAGATCAGACATTAGCCTTAAAAACTCCATAGGCGAATCCTAGGAGGTATCACTTTTCAAATATCGATCTGCAATTTTTAGTCTCAGTTAGTGCTTACATTTGCAATGCAATTCAATTGTTCCCTAATTAAAATTGCATAGTCTGAACCATCAAAGCTTCTACTACAGTAGAGAATGTAAAAATAGTTGCAAAGAATAGGTTTAATGACGGAAAATGAAAACTCATAAAGCCGACTAAAAACAGTGGAATCAGGCTAATGATAATGATGATGACTACTTCATATGGCGCTGCAGTATTCAAAACAAGGATCAAACATTTTAGCTCTACTTGCAGTGTACAAACCCATCTACCTAATTTAAAAATCGTTCCATAAACCATCTACTTTTTAGCAAAAACCAATGTCTAATGATTTCATATAGTTATTAAAATTATGCTAAAAGCCTCAAACAATCCATAACAAGATAAAGGAAAAATTGCACATGGATGCTGGCATAATAAATAACATTAAAGAAACAATAAGATTGCACCACAAATAGCTCTTAGCAAAATCTGACTGCAGCTTGTCAGAACTGTTAAAAATAGGCAACTTTTGTAACCAGGTCATATGAAGCAATGAAACAAATCCCAACTGATGCGCAGAATTAAAGACCCAATATAGGCTGCCTACCTTATTGTCTTGAGGAAATGATTGAACATGTCCAAAATCAAATCATCACATTCAAGGTCTAACATCAGAACACAAGATCGGACCTTGGCAACTGTCTCAAGTATTGAAACTCTCTTCAAAAATGACCGACTTGACATCTCGTCCAAATTCTTAAAAGCACCAACAATCAGTCCAAAAATCTCCTAAATAGTTAGAAAGTATAGCGTCAATAATATATAAGCATTCTGACAACAATTTTAATAGTAAAATAAGCAAAACCTTCATTAGATCGTCATCATATGGAGCATCTGGAGCCGTTATTCTTGTGATTTCACTGAGACAGGAGGAAACAGCAATTTTCACATCCAAATCAGAATGTCTGAGAAGATCCCCAGCAACTAATGCCTTCATAGAAGGGCGGAGAGCATCATGCATTGACTGCGGTGGACATTGCTCTACTCTTGACAATAAGTTCTCAGATTTCTAGAGATTAGCAAAGGTAAATATCAAATACTAAAATTGAATGAGTATATACACACAAAACTTTAGTCAAAAAAAGAGGAAAAAGAAATCATCAAAGAAATATTTTTTCTTTTTAAAAAACAGAACTTCATCAGCAAAATGGAAGAAAGGAGTTCCAGGGCACTCAGTACTCTGACTGCACAGTTGTGGAAGAAATAAAATTACAAGATAATCTGCATATATAACAAGATAAGAAAATAGTTCCATGCAAAAAACATGTGCAAATACCACCAGGCCAAAGGATAGCCAATAAGGATAAGAAAATAAGCAGTAGCAACATCAGTTCCCCTCTCCATAAAAATAAGCATCATGGGTAGCTCTGCTTATCTCTTCACCAGGGATTCCTCGGATCCAATTAAATAGCAACTCAAAATGATAGTACATGTATAAAAAAGATGAAAAAAACAGGGTCTTTTGTGTGTTCATTGACAGCACGAGATTGATCAGAGCCATGATAACTACAGGTACATATTGCAACAGAATACCACAGGTGCCATTGGAACAGCATTTGCTATTTAAAGCGCTTCAATCACATTCAAATTTTATAATTTGTAGCAAGCACCATGGAATAGTAACAGTTAAAGGAGACAACTGCAAATGCACAAGTGCATATATAATGACCAGACAAAGTAAAAAATGAACATATAGGTGACACATGATGATAATCACCATTGTCAAATTTGAGCAAAATCCTCTCTAAACTGGTCATTTTTCAAAATCTGCTCTAAGAGAAAATTATATGAAATGTTGAGCAGCAATAACAATGCAAACATGAAAAGAAAGCATTCAATAAACAAGATAAGGCAGTCAAAACACTAAATCAGATGGTGGTCCAACTAAACATCATTCTTTGTTCTTCTAAATGAAAACCCTACCCTGTAAGGCAACTGGAAACATGTAAACACTTATGGCATTTCCCTATTTCTTGTTACACGAAAATACCAGCTCATAACATGAGCACTGTGATTAAACCAAAGCTTAACGCAAATGTTACAATGAATCATCGCTAAAATGGTCTGGGCACACTAGAGAAGATTCCTTTGAGACATTCAAATGACTAGAAAATACTGTTTCCAGGAATGGGAATACCATCTTTCTGCCTCAAGTCATTCATCCGGAAGAAATAAAAACTTACATCTTTCTCTAATAACAACAAAACCAGGAAAGCACCGTAACCTTCGTCTGCCCAACCAAAGTTCCTTACAAATTCCCATCCTCACAGTTCACGCATTCTCGTCCATCCAAATGAAAGGAAAACCCTTGCCAATTCGATATTCTACTGCGTTAAAGAGAAAACACTACCTAGAAAATAAAATTCAAAAGTGCAAACAGATTTGATACATCAGAATACTACTGTATATATAAACAACAGCCTCGAGCACTCACAAAGCCGCGCTGCGCTGCTACTCCCAAATTCAACGACAAATACTAGGCAGGGAAAAACAGAAAAAAAAAAAAAAAAAAACGAAAGAAAAAGGTCTTACATCGAGAAGCAGAAGCAATTGTTGCACGTCAGAAGGAGGACTCGTCAGTTTATTGCCGACTTCCTCGATCCGGTCCTCGAGCTCCTTGTCTCTAGGCGTCATTAGCACGCAAATGGTACGAAATCACGATGCTCCAGAACCTTACACCATCAAAAGCCAAAGCCAAGGAAAACCCCTAAACTCGGAGGTATCGACCAGATCAAGAAGCGCGACTTAGCAAGGAAAACGGAGATCGAAACTACCTGCACCCTAGGGTTCGAAGAAGTGGATGAGAATAGCTAGGGTTTACATGCGGGCCAAAAATTTATTATTTTCCTTTTCCTGCTTTTTTCAATTTTCATTCGACGAAAAAATGTGATATCCCTGCGATGTATAAATATCGAAAGGGACTTACGAAATGACGTCCTACAAGTCCGCAACGGGTTAGTGGGATCCGCAAGCCGGACTGCACCTCAAAACACAGGATAAGAACCCATTCGTTAAGCTGAAGGGTTAATTTTGAGCATAAATAGTATTTAGGGGTTATTTAGTTGACTGATAAGAAAATAATGTGCTAAAAAATATAATGTAAGATTTTCAGATAAGTATAAAAGAAATTTATAAGATTTATTTTTTATTTGATATGAAGTAAAATAAATACAATATAAAATCTAAAGAGAATGATGGTCGGTGGTTCACAGTGACATTGGTAGTCAATAAAGATGGCCGTTAACGACAATGACGAGCAGAGGCAGCGAGTCACTGGTGAAGGCTATAAGGTGGCTGACAAGTGGCAGGCATAGTCAACGACTTGAGGTGGTTGGTAGCCGCCATCGGCAGTGGTGGGGGCCAGCTGAGGTGGGTGGTCGACTACGGCAGGGAACCGGCAACGTTTAGTGAATTGTCAAGGTGTGGAAGGTTAGGGGTGGCGGCGAGCAACAATAATGGCGATGAAATTGTAATGTATTTGAAAATTGTACAAAAATTTGGAATTTCAAATACAAAAAAAAAAAGTAGAGGGTGAATTCCCAATGTACCAAAAATCTACATAAAGTTTGTTGTACTTCAAACCAAAAACAATATTCTCAAAACCCCTATATTTGAAATACTTTACACCCATTTTACTTCAAATCAAATAGCCCCTTAAACTTCTTCAATTCCTTTAGAAGGAATGTGATTTATTTTGAGTCATTTTATATATATCAGCATATTTGAAATTTAATATATATCACTGTATTTGAAATTTAATATATATCACTATATTTGAAATAAATTTTGAGAATATTTATAGAGGTTTAAATCCATAATATTTTTAATTCATCTAAATTAAGTTTATTAATTGAGAGCGTTTTTAAAAATATATATTATAATTCGGGGTGTCAATATTGGACCCGACCCGAAAATTTCGAGTTTGGGTTGACCCAAAACCCAAAGCATGTCAGGTTCGGGTTTGAAAAATTGACCCGTTTGAAAAATCGGGTCGGGTTCGATTTGACCCGGGAATGATCAGAAACGGCTCGGAATGACACATAAACCCATCTGCCCAGAATGACCCCGCCCCGCCTACCCCGGGCTGCCCGGCTGCGTCGTGTTGTGTCACGTCCCAAGGCCAGCGTCGTGTGTCGCCGGCCGAGTCATTCAGCGTCAGTTCCGCATCGTGCACGTCCCGCGTCAGTCGTCACCCTCTTCCAACGGCTTCCGCTGCCTCCGACTGTCGGCAACCATCGGTCCACTGCTGCCACCGGGGCAGTTTCGCGTTAGTTGTCGTGTCCGCGAGTTGGGTTGGGTTGACTTGAACCCGAAGTTGGTCGAGTTGGGTTGACTCGAACCCAAAGCTAATCAGGTTCGGGTCCATAAAATCAACTCATTTGCAAAACGGGTCGGGTCGACCTGAACCCGAATAGTTTCAGGTTCGGCCCGAACCCGACCCGTGACCCAAATTTGACACCCCTAATTATAATTCAAGTGGATTTTGATCAATTGCTATATTTAAAATAAATAAATCTAGAACTTTGGTTAATGGAGAAATAGCCATAAAATTTTTAATTTTCTCACCCAATTATTATAATTATGCGCGTGAAATAATGCTACATTAAAATGACATCCTTGAAGAAAACTAGCATTGTAAATGACATAGGGGAGAAAATTAACCCAAAACATCAATTGGTGCCTCTCCCAATTCATTCAACTATATCTCTTTTTTTTTCATGAATTGATTTTATAGTCAATTATATTCTCCTCCCAAAATGCTAAATTTGGTGATTTGAATTGATCCATTGCTCTTCACCAAATGGCTCTATTGATGGCACCTAATTCTCGGTGCCTCTTTTGTCATCATACATCATTCGACCAATTCACACCAGCTTCAAGTTAATGACTCCTTGAGGCACATTTTGTCAACTTGCTAATAGCTAGCGTCTTACAACCTCTACAAAGTGTCTTCATTTACGATCAATGTCACAATTCCACTTTGTCCTCTACCCACCTACACAAATATTTTGGTCCTTTTTTCTCCCTCATACCATATCAACTTCTCTCTCGCAATCAAACAACCAATCTCTTACCCTTCATCTTCCCCCGAAATGGAAACTATCACAGGTTACTAGAAATGGAAAGTATCACATGTTACTAAAGATGAAATGTATCACATGTTACTAGCTTGCCCCCTCTTTTCTCTTTCAGGGCTTCATCCCTCTTTCATAAACTTCTTTCTGCATCCCTAATCACAAACAAAATTTCATTGTTCATATTTGTTAATGTTTTGTCGATGACATTTTAGTTCAAAATAAAAAACTAGACTCATGGAAGCCAATTTTCCAACATCTTTTTTTATTTTTGTCCATTATTTCAGTTATCACCTTTCAATCCAACATTATCACTATCATTTTTTTTTTTTTATGGAGGCATTTTGCTTTAGTATTACTTCCTCCTTTGTTGAAGATAACACGAGTAACTATATTGCTAATTGCTCTGTCATCAATAAAAGATATTCAGTGGAGTAGGCACTCATCTGGAGGGAATCTATCTCCTCAGTGCAACCAAATGCAATTGGTATGCCACACTTGGTTTATTTTATTTCAATGTCATAATTTCTATTCAATTTAAAGCAACCCACCATAGAATAATCAATTCATTCCTACGACTCACCTAGTGAACCATTGTAATTACTTAGCATTCCTAGGTGAGGGCATCTCTAAGATTGCCTTCACGTTGTCTATGTTAAGCTTTATAATTTCAAGTGTGAGGAGAAAGCATATAAACTTGTTTGAGCAACCACCAAATATACACTTTAATCTATTACATAACATATTGTACCCTTTTAGCATGGTGAACGCCTGCTCTAAATCTTGGATGGGCTGCTTGGGTCACTTGCTTTCCACAAGTAGATCATATATGCATACTTCTATATTTCACCCTTTTCTACATCTTGAAGGCACAATCCATCATTATCTGGCAAGTTGCTTCAACACATTTTAGTCCATATGTTATCACTTTATAGTAGCATAGGTCTTCTCTTGTAATGAATGGTGTTTTCTTGAAGTTACAGGGTGCATTTTTATTTGTTGACAACTAAAAAATTAGTCCAAGAAGTTAATCATAAATAACTCGATTGTTGAGTTGATCCTAGGAAGTGGGTACCCATCCTTTGGACACACCGAGCTGAGGTTTGTAAAGTCAATGCACATCATTAATTTTTCAATTGTCTTCTACACCATCACTATATTAGAAATCTAATTAGGATATTGTACCTCTCGAACAAAGTATGTGTCAAGTAGTTATTGTTTGATTGGCTAGGTAAGCATTTTTATTTGATTAGCTAGCCACTAAGCATAGTCATGGTACTTAGATATCCTACGGAGTGTCTTTTTTTACATTAAGTTTATGGATGTCCACTTCTTTGCTAATGTCTACCATCTTGTTCGACGTCTAAATAAAAAATGTTGATTCTTCCCTAAGGGCTTATACATGTTCAAATCATTATTCTAAGATGAATGATATACTCATTCTCAGCGTTTCATTAGACTAACCCTATGTAGCTGGGACTTCCTCAATTACCTTGGTGGTCTCTAGTCGCGGTCCTCATTTAACATAAAGTTACAAAACGTCTTATCATGTAATCATGATGCAAATGTCTTTTGATGGATGAATGAAGAATCATGATAATATATATGAATAATTTTGGATGTTTTTATAGTTTGGATTAATTTTTTTATATATTGATGAATTTTAGTGGATTTGTATACAAATTAAAATAATAATAATAAATCTCTCCAAGAAAAGGGTTAAGGGTAATTGATAGAGCTTGCTCTTGGCCTGGTATGATCAATTAGAGTATATGGGTTATATCGGGTTATATCGTAACAATTATATGGTATCAAAACAGTGATTTGGAGGAGTTGATATATGACAAAGTCGTAAAACCGATCAATAAGAGAGTGATATATATTGGGAAGAATACATATTTTCCTTCCCTATCCATATGTGTCTCATTAGAAGTTTTTTTATCATATAGGCGAAAGTATAATGATTGAATCCATTATTTCTGAAGAATCAAATTGGACAAATGGGCAAAGCTCTAGTCAGGCATTACTAGGTCAGAGTAGAGCGGGAACAACAAGAACAAAAACTATGAGTTCATTGGTTAGCTTAGTGGCTCGATTAGTAAGTGAAAAGCCAGAGTAAGATGTTCACTAGTAGAGAAGATGAAGGTGATAAGCATTTACAGATGCTACATATATTCAAGCCACCATTAGTTAAAAAATAATAATAGAACCCAAAGTGGCCGAAGACTTGTTACTTAGGTTTTAAAATATATTTGATGGAATAACATTGTCTGAAGCATAAGAAATTACCCTTGGTTGTCTTTCTGTTTGAAGGAGAAGCAAATATATGTTAGATAAGATAGCAAATGGAGAAGTTTTAAGGTAAATTGAATTCACATATTTCCTTGGAAGAGTTTGTAAATATCTTTAGAGAATGGTTTGTTCCCCCTTCAGCTAGGAAAGACATGCAAGAAGCCTTTATGAGATTGATGCAAGAAGATTAAATAATTATGCAATACGAAGCCCAAATATGCAGGAAGTGAAAAAAGATTTTTATGAGGTGGTAAGCATTGATTTATCTCTGATTTATTCTATATGCTTCTCCCTGTTGCATTTATGTTGATTTATGCATGTCACATGATAAGTTCATGATGCATGATCATACAGTGTTAAGATTCTTGTTAGGATGATCTAGTTTGAATAGATAGAATGACCCTTAATTTGTTTGTTATGATATTGAAAGCTAATTGGTCAATTAAATATAAGATTCAAAGTGAAAAATATCGAGGATGATATTTTTTAAGGATTCTACATTATAATACCACTCGTCTAATAATTAGAATATCTATTGACCCGAATAGGATGTCATAATAATTTTAAGTATGATTAGCCTTATTAATATTTGGAAGATTAAAAAAGGAACGATGAATTGAACATGGAAGTGAATTTTGATAAGAATATATTTATCCTTGAGAGAGATATAATGCTACTGCCTTCTGGGCTATTTTATGAATAATTTTTCATAATTTTTGGATCCCAAAATTTGAAAATATAAAATGATTTATATGAATTTTATGCTAAAAACTAATAATTGACATAATTATATTTATACCCTTAATATATTGTATTGTAAAACTCTTATTCCACTTTACAAAAATTACCAAACACTAACTAATTAGTTTCCTCAAACAAGTGGAGAAGATGGGAAATATGGGACGAAAGTGAGAGGTGAGGAGTGAGGAAGTTAGGGTTTGGAAGTTTTAGTGCTATTTTTATTAGTCAGTCTAGCTGGGAAAATTGCTTGTCTCAAGGTAGGTTATGGTTATCATACATCTGATTATAATGATTTTGCATATATTTGTGTTTTATGAATTCTAATTTAGTTTATAAAAGTTCTGATATAAAACCAAAAAAATAATAATAATTTAGAACTAGGCAAAGTCGCCCATTGAATGGGCGAATTGCTCATGTTCTAAAAAAATTTAAAAAAGTTTTCAAGAGAGAGAGTGTAGGAGAGAAATAAATTAAAGAAGTATATAGAGATTAATCCAAATCCGAAATAAGATAATTATTTATTTAAAATATTTTTTTTCTTTAAAACAAGATTTATTAAAAATAATAATACTACATTATGAATAAAAAAACATAAATAAATTTTATAGTAAATTATTTATTAAAAATACGAAAAAAATATTTGCATTTAAGATTTTAATAAAAAAATAAAAATTTTTTTGGTGTACCTTCTCTCCAACATAATATGAAAAAAAAAATAGTTTTGATTTTTTTATTTATCTACTTTATTTTATTTTTCTATATCCACATTTAATTTATTTATCTCTCTCCTGAAGTTTATTAAATGGGCGACTTTACATATTTTTAAATTTATATTTTTTGCTGGTTTAATAACTAGTTAAATTATTTTAAAAATTTGCCCTCGATACTGCTCAGTGGCTTTTTCTGGCTTCCGCTTGGGCACTCCCGTTTGCACCAAACTACCTGCAATCCCCCAATGAAACTTCAATCCGAATCTGATACCGACGTTCCTGTTCATTTCATTCCACGATCCCACGCCGCGATCTAGAACTATTCCAACTCTCGCCGGAACCCCGTCGTCCCCCCGGTGCTCCTTTTTATCACCCATGACGCCTTGATTACCTATCCCCCAATTCTTCTCACTTTCGCTTCTTCATCCACTGTCCATGCTGCCTGAACTTAACTCTTGTTGTCGAGACTCGATCCACGGCGCCCATCTATCTTTCAATTCCCTCCTCTCACCTCTGGTAAGTCATTCCTTAAACCCCGCCCCCAATTTTTGTTCCTTGCTTTCCAGCTTCCAGAACTGGTACTTAAAGTCGAATACTTATCTGGTAAATCTTTTTGTCTATTGCTAGTTGTTTGGAAGTGGCTTCTGTTAGGTTTTGAAAGTAGGGTTTTGCAACCAGGTCGCTCTTATCATACCTCATCTAAATGGAATTAAATTTGGCTAGTCCTAAGTGGAATGTCGAGCGGCCCTTCCTAACCGGTAGATTCCATCAGGTATTGCATCTCTTCATGATTCCTATTTCGCTCACATTTGTTATGGAGTTCCATGTTATTAGTAAGTTTTTTTGTCACTATTGTCTTTTAATAATAATAATCTTACAAAGCATATTAGATTTTATTTGGATGATATAGATTTGGTCCAATTTGAGAGATTCTAGATATCAGGCTATCTGACTGCTAAAAGAAAAAAACAACGGCAACAAATAAAAGTTGCTATCCAGATACGATTGAAACAAATACTGAATTTGATGGTTAATATTATAGTTTGAATAATGCTGTTATCTAGATGACACTATTATCTAAATAGCATTAGACCATATCTACTTAAACCTTTCTTACCCCCGTTGTGATTCTCCTGTCAATTTCTTTATCAGGAAACCAAAATTCCTAATGCGACATCAGGTCCTAGGCCCTTCTCCTTGGAGTCATTAAGGTTAGATTTTTATTCCTTGTATTTGCTCTAACTGTTGATGATAGTTGCTGTATACTGACTTGATGGACGCCTGACTGATGTGTTTATATTCCCTTTATTCAGTCGTGGTTCTGAAAATGTTATTGGATCGTACCCAGTTTCAGTCCAGGTGTTGTTTTTATTTTTGTTCCGTCAACCTATGGTTAAATTTCAGAGCTTATTCTGAAGGTGATAGTAAGAGCAGAGATCATGATGATTTAATGCAGGAACTTTTGATCATTGATGATTTGCTCTCTGCACTTGTGGGCATTGAGGGGCGCTACATTTCGATAAAGAGAGTACGGGGAAAGGAAGGCCGAGTTATTTTTCAGATTGATCCATCCATGGACTTAGCCTTACAGGTGAAACAGATAAGGTTGTGTAGATGGTGTTATTAGGAGGTTTTGGTGGTTTATGTGATTAGTTATTTTAGTGTTGCAGGAGTTGATTCAGAGGTTATTCCCCCTTTGTGAAGCCTATGTGCTGGTCAGCTGGTTTGTCGAGACTAAATCACATTTTGGGTCTGGTCTTGTGAACCATGCGTTAGCTGCTGCAATGAGAGCACTCCTTTTGGTACCTACCTTCAAATTTTCTTGTTTCCAGCCGCATTAAGTTCTTCAGACCATATTTACAATGATGTATGGAATGACAAAATTATAACTTGTTTAAATGATCTATTTATACGGTTTGTATCAACCATTTAATTGAGTGGTACTGAGTTTGATCTCTAAAATAGATGTCCAGGGTTCAAATTCTAGCAAAAAAAATGTATACAATTGCATACGTTTTTACCTGTATGCATATAGTCTTAATCATGTTCGTAATAGATATAATGTGGACAAGCCATGAACATGGTACATCAGGGGCTTTTTTATTATTTTTGTGCATCAAGCCATGAACAAGGTACGTTATTACTTTATCAGCATATTGAAAGTAAACAACTTAAAATTTGCTATGAATAAGTTCTATGTTCCAAGGATTATGAACTTATAATAGATAGGATCTTCTGTGTACCTAGTCTACTAAAAATGTGTTGTGAATCAGAACATATTTGACACCTCGTTTATGTCGAGTTTGTCAGAGTTTTTAGCAAAGTCAAATTTCACTATGATTGAACTATCTCCTTAACAATTCAAAGTCCTAATCCAACATATGTCTATATTTGGAAGACTTTGTTCTAATTCCCCTATTTTTTCTACTACATCTCCGTTGAAGATATATATCTTACTATATTTTGTTTTTGTGCATGACCTATACAAAAATTAAATGAAGTTCGATAGAATCAGAAACTACAATAAAAAGTTTCAAGCACTTAGACCTATTATATGTAAAATATGCATTCCTTTCACATCATAAGCCGAAAGAGTAATTTGGCCTATCATTTTAAACAACCATAACTTAAAAAGTTTCATTGAAAATATAAGAACATGTACAGGAGTAGAGTTAAAAAGATAGATCCAGATTCTCCTTTGCAAAAGCAATTACAAGCACTTATGCGATCTCTGATCCTTCTCTACTTACTCACACACACTTACACTTATTACTGGACTACCCCTAGAACTAAGAACAAGTAACAAAATGGCCAGCACCCCCACCCCTTCACAAATTTGGCAAAGTTATTTATATAAAATAAAATGACTAACACTAATGTCGCAACGCTCAGAGTAGTAGTGCCACGAAGATCATAAGATGAACTAACACCGTGATGCTCCTGAAGCACAACGTTGCGTTGCTCAATGCAGATCGATGTTTTGCTTCATCTAGTAACTGAATTAATTGTCAAGCTGTGACACTCGGCAATTCAGTGTTGCAGCGCCCTTGACAGCGCTGTTTCTTTGGGGCAATTTGGCGTTGCGGCGCTCCAAGACTTGCACATTGCGGCGCTCCAAGACTTGCACATTGCGGCGCCCTGCTCTGTCATAAAGTTGGATTTAACCTTGAATGCCGCAGCGCTGGGTATTTTCTTCATTTCTACCTTTTTCTTTGAATTTTCTTGCACAAAATTATAATGAAAGAAATTTTAATGCAAAATAGGATAACTTAAAAACATAACCATTTTTAAATTAACACTTTCCAACTTAACTCACATGAATAGAGGCTTTTGAAAGCTCTTGCATTTCCTCTTTTACTCTCATTTATGTTGAGTTTACATATCCTTTTGATGGATCATCATCATCAACTACAACATAAACAAACTTTTCTCAACTATGTGGGGTGTACTTCATAAATCCTAACTCATCATTCATTCATGTTCAATGTTATATGAGGTGGTTGCTCATCTGTAGTGGAAATATTTTTGTAGTCCTCTTTTTCCTTTTCATCATCCTGTCTTATTGATGTGAAACGATGCAAGAATTGCTTGTAGGAAATTAATAACTTGTGAACTTTGCCTAGCTAGTTAAAAACAAATGCGTTCCAAGATAGATCGTAAGAAAATATCCACGGAAGAACTAAGTAATGTAAATTGATTACAATTAAAAGCAATGTGAGACTAACAAAATCCACGGTTTAAGATCTAGACCATTCACCTCGGAGTCCCTCACATGCACTCTTGATGTCGCTCGGCTTAGCGGAAGAGCATTGCACACAAACTTAAGGATGCCACTAATAAACAAGTGATGCCGAGGGGACTAGTCATCGGGGAAGGAGTCGGAGTTGGAGGTGCGGGTGGTCGTCCGATGAGAACCCACGGTGTTCGGGGTTGTTGGAGTTCGATCGTCTTGGCGAGAGGCAACAGAGAATTCGTTTGACTTATCTTACCACCGTTTCGTCGTATTCCTAATCAGGTTCGTACAAGGGAGAGAGAAGATGATAGGAAACACTTGAAATCAAGTATTTCCTATTCACCTTTACAGCAAAACTCCACGAAATACTGCTGTCCGGAGCAGGAAAACAGTAAAAACAGCGGAAAAGCTGTAGAAAACTGAGAGAAATTCGTAGGAAAAACTTGTATTTTACTAGTAGAAGAAGAAAACAACAAAGATACAATTGATCCTCAATTCGAGAGGAGGATCGATCTCTCCCAAATCTCTAGACGCCGCTAGAGCCCAAAGAAAACCTAAATCTAAGAGATCTCAAATTTCAGCCAAATTCAAGATGATCAAACCCTAGGAAAATCTACTATTTAATGCATACAAATCAAAAGGAATTCCCCAAAAAGTCCCTACATTCAAATTTCCCTCTCAAAACGCTCAAAAAAACTTCCTAAACGGCTCTACGGGGGCGGACGGGCCGCTCGTTCTCCGCCAGATCCGCCTGTTCGCGATTTCCGCCCGTGAACTGGTCACTCCTGGACCGGTCCAGTGGACCGGTCTAACAATACTCCCCTCCCAAAGATCCACCTTGTCCTCAAGGTGGAAATATGCTCGTGTTCTTGCGGAGGTGGCCATCCTTGAGGTGACTGAAAATCCTCACTGTATTGCTGAACCAAGGTCTGCATGGAAAGAGAAACATCCCCTTCCTCCTCCATCCTGATCACATCCAGCTTGTGTAGTCCCACCAAATAATCTTCCCCCACCTCTTGTATGTCCCTAACCATGGTCTTAAGTGATTTCGTGGCTTTGGATAGCCCTGCACTCCCCTTATAACCATCTTTCTCCCATTCACCATTAATTCCATCGTGACTGCTCCCAAATTGTCCTTGGATTCCCCCAAGGTTTGTAACCACTTCATCCCCAGGATGACATCAGTGCTTCCCAACTCTAGTGGGAGAAAGTCCTCCCTTACTTGAATCCCCTGGATGGTCAACACCACTCCTTTACAGATTCCCTGACCTTTCTCCACCTTCCCTGTACCCATCATCACCCCATAACAACCGGTGTCCACCAATTTCACTCCCAGTTGGTTGATGACCTGAGTGGAAATGAAATTGTGGGTAGCCCC